AATGTTTGACGAGATTTACAAGTATTAGCATTAATTGAATTAGATGACTAATGTAATCATGTTAACAATCTATAATCTGATTGGAACCTCCTTTGTGTGTGGTTTCCAATTGAATAATAAGAGTTTATACTATACTTGTTTGACATACCATTAGTGAATCCTCTAACCTTGACATTTGTTATTATGATTTTTTAATCCTTACGTTAATCTTCCATCTCAAAGTTCTCATCAACTTCTTCTTCTTCTTCTTCTTTATTATTACTACTACTACTACTAATACTACTATACTATTACTATTACTATTACTATTACTATTACTATTACTATTACTATTACTATTACTATTACTATTACTATTACTATTACTATTACTATTATTATTATTATTATTATTATTATTATTGTTAGTATTGTTGTTGTTATTGTTGTTGTTGTATTATTGGTATCTATAATTTATACAATTAATCTCCCTGTGGTTTGACCCCGGTCTTGTCGGGTTATTTATTACTTCAACACTCCTAAACTTGGAAGAAAACATCAATCTTTTGGTCGTGTCAAGATATACCAGACTTAATGGAGAATCACACTGCAACTAGGTAAGATTGAAATAAAGATAATTATTTTTAATTATTTTATTAAATTTCATTATTTATTTACTAACAGATAATTCATTTATACCATATAGGTTGTATGATTTGTGATATGAGGTGCGATTTGGAAGGATTTCAGACCTCTATACATCGGACAGGCCGTATGAGTGGAATATATCCAACATGTGATGTTTGATAATTTTTCGTGGCAATTACACTCCATTATGGAGAACCAAAACTGGCATGCTCACGGTTTTGTTACCGCACATTAACAGCTCCATTCTATTCATTTCACATGCGAAGCGAATGATAAGATTTTTTTTAATTATATGCATTTTTTATTTGTTGTTTTTTTCTAAATATATTTAAATAACAACAATTTTCTCTTGCAGACTATAGTTCTTGGACACGAACCAAGCTCGATGGAGCTTTTTATAGAAACATATATATAAATTGATGACCACTAAAAAAAGAGTGCTGCAGTTCATGGATAGTCGAGCTTAGCAATTTCTAGTATGTTGTTTTCAACCATTTTTTTCTTAAGTTATTTTTTTTTTTAATTTACTAACATTTTTCTTCCAGGATACATATAACACTAGGTTGAAGAAGAGATACGATAACGATCTTCGATCCGGATTCGAGGTTGGAGGCAAGATTGTTTAATGGACTCGATAGAAGATGGGTGTACGATCTCTTTAACACTACAACTAAGTTCTTATAAACGGCCTGTAATGTTTTTACCATTGGATACTCACAATCAATTCCAAGAACTCAAACTCTTGAGTTCAAAGTAATTTTAGACTAGTGATTTAAAGATCGAATAACCCATCATGCTGTTGATTATGAATAACTTAGTGATGAGACGACTGAACTTCATCGATTGGTATTAGAGATGAGATCACAAATAGATGATACATATGCTTCCTCTTATTTGCCCCATGGTCCAAATGAAGACCCGCTTCCTCCTTCTCTAGCTCCTCTATTTTAGATTATTTGTATTTGAATTTATAAATGTTTAAACTTGTCATAAATATTTGAATTTTATATTAATTTATTTTTTAATTGTTTTTTTGTTTCTATTTAATAGATTTTTTTTAAATAAGTTATTTAATTATTATTGATGGGGTTTCCATTGCCAATATCATTGCCATAATTTACTCATTGATAAAATAACAAATGGTCTGTTTGACGGTTACATATCAAATTCACCGACAGACATATCTATTGACGAAAATAATCATTGATGGCATGACATACAGTTTTTTCATCAGTGATATGTTATATTTAGTGATGGAAGTATCTATAAAATGAAGGGGGTAAAGTTTTTTTTTGGCGCACTTTGTCCGTAGTGAACACAAAATTAGACTTAGCATTCTAGGCTTAGCATATTCTTCTCTCCTGAAAATGGATTTATGAGATTCTCACCGATGATTCATGTGGATTATTGTTAGACATCGAATAATTGAATAACTTGTGATTTGTGACAACCCAACATTGAATCATATATTCAAAGCAGAAAAGAAGTTTATATTTTCAGGTAATTTTTATATAAATCATAAATAATTTTAAATTTATCTAATAAAATTATTGAAAC